ACAAAAGGGGAGGACCCCACAACAGTAAACTGTGTGGGAGATAACATGTCCCGCATCAAAAGTCAAGTCTTCTCTATTAATGACCTTTGTCACACGGGATGCCAAGAAAACATGTGACTCACAAAGAATGGGGGAAAGGGAGGTAGTCACAAAGATAAGAGCCGTGATGGCTCCTGGCAGTGGCGCCTGGTGGACGTCAGGCAGCCCAAGAGGCACGGCCACAGGGCAGGGAACACCTGCACCTCCCACACGGGTGAGCTCCTTGCAGGGCCTCCGTGCACTCAGTCGGCCTGGGCTTCCAACTCCGTACACCAGCCTCACAGGGTGAGAGGAAAAGTGTAAGCAGTGACAGGAACAGCATTCAGTCCAAGGAATGGCAAACAACATGGGAAAGAGGGCCTCGACTGGTCCTCTCCCTCTCCGGGCCTATTTCCCTGGGCACGTTGTGCCTAAGCTGCGTCAATCACACAGGAGACACAGTACCTCATGATGCACTGGTAATGTGATCTCGCTGAGGCATGAGAAATTCTAAGTGGGGCCTGACAGGGTCCATTTCTACTACGGGGGTGATTCACGGGAAGAGGGAATTCATGCACTCACTGGACCTGGAAGAATTCAACAAGGAAGCTTTGCAAGGAGAGAATGAGAGAAAGGAGGAATCACGAAGTAAGATGGGTGGTCCCACTAGCGATCCCACCCTGAGAATGAATTTGGCCAGGGGGTGCACTTGCTGGTCTGCTAGCACAGAATCATCCAGGGCTGAACGCACGAAGCTACGGGTCATGTACATCACAAGGGCAGTATGGACTGTCTGGGGACATTCTGCCTTCGTCATTTTTAACTCACATCCGCTCCCGCGTGTAATGCGACGGTGCCAGAACAGGGGACTTTTAGAAACAGTCTGTCGGCCCTGGGGCCATGACTAAGCCTATTGAGGGATACCCACATCCAGAATTGGCAACCATCAGAAGTTTTACGGAGACTCTTCATGGCATACACAGGAAAGTGTTTCCATCGCGAGAGATGGAAAATAAACACAAAACAACTGCGTATAATATGATAGGAGCCTGCCTATGATTTTTAAAATACATCTCTTCAAAGACTGGAAGGAAGTCTATCAAAATATTAACTTTGCAGGGCACCTGGGTGGCTCAGTTGGTTGGGCGTCTTGCTTTCAGCTCAGGTCATGGTCCCGGGGGTCCTGGGATGGAGCCCCACGTTGGGCTCCCTGCTCTGCGGGGAAGCCTGCTTCGCCCTCTCCCTCTGCTGCTCCCCCCTGCTCATGTTCTCGTGCACTCTGTCTCTCTCAGATGAATAAATTAAAAAATCTTAAAAAAAAAATTACCTTTGCCTCTGAAGGTACTTTTACTGTTTTCTCATTGTTTCTTTATGTAATAGGGAGTAGGGAGGCAAATTAAACATTCTAACGTAACAGAATGCTTGCAAAGTTATAATGTAGAGATTTGTAAAGCAAATACTTCCCTTCTAATGCACTTGGTTGTGTAAATCCAGATTTTCCATACATAACATGTATTGAAAAATAGAGTACCAAGGAAATGAAGCAATATCTGTATTTGTTTCAATGACTAACAAGCAAAAATAAAACTTCAGCTGTGATGCCATGCTTTTTAGAAATCAGACATATAATAAGCCACAGATTTATAGGATGTGGTCTAATAAACCTAAGAAAAGTTTCATTTCCTCCTCACCAAAGTGGTTCACTCCCTGTCTGCGCAACTAGTTTTTTGCAAAGTTAGCAGATGTCTCTTTTTTTTCCTTAAATGTGTAAGTTGAGAGATCAATAAGCACCAGCAATAATAATGTGCCCCCCGAATACACACACATACGCACACTCACTCACTCACTCCCATATCCCTAAATATGAAATAAAAACGGGCTCAACGCTAGCAAAAGGGTAGGTGGCCCAAAACATCAAAGGGACAGAGCTTGCCATCTTGCTAATCCCCAGCCACTGATCAGGAAAAATTTACAGAACCCCTGGAAAGGGGGAAGCAAGGAATGAGGGAAGGATTTAGACAAAGAACTTTTTAAAAGGTTGTTTTCAAGCATTTCCGTGAAAATGGTATTACCTCAGCAATTACAGGAAAAAACACTCTTTTCTTATCTGAATGCACTTATGCCGCAGGTCACACCCTATTATTGTCACTATTAAACATGTTAATAGCCCCAATGTAATGGCTCTGTGTGGCTAGCTTTAAAATGTACATGAATAAATAGCTAACTAGAAAAAAAAAGTGACTCATGCCTGCCCAGGTGGATATTGACTTTCTTAGTCATATTTACTCAATTGGTCTACCAGCCTTAATTCCCTGGAGGAGGGGGCTGAAGTGACAGAATCCAGCCAACTTGCAAGGAAAGAGAGGGAGGAGGGACGATGAAAGTTGAATCCAGCCGTGGGTAGAAAGTGTCCCGAATGCGGTACTGGTAAGGCAGAAACGTGACTTTGAGTGTCCTGAATCAAAAGCTTCCTCCCAGCCCCTGAGAAGGCAGGGTGTTGAACAGGACCCGACACATCTTCTTTAGCAAGTGGAGGATGGTTAGTACGGAAGACTCTGACCCAGGGGCTGTTGCCATGGTCTTCAGTAACAGCAGTTTTATGGCTACGCCCCTGTGCTGTGTGATCCCAAGCAGCTGCCACCCCTCCCTGGGGCTCACTTGCAAAATGGGGTCACAGCATCTCCCTCCGGGGAGTGTGGTCAGGTTTTGAAGTTACTATGAGCAAAGCACTTCCAGAAGTGCCTGGCCCATAGGGGGCGCTGTGTGAAATCTCACTCTGATCAGTATTTCCAGGCATCCTGGGAGGTGTCCCCAGGAAGCAGGCTGGGCAGGTATTCCACGCCCATCCCCCTTTTACAGACCCCGGGAGCACATCATGCAGGCGTGAAGCCCCTTGCCAACGGACGTGACGGAACGTTGGAATCAATCCTACTTCTGACTCCAATCTCGTGTGGTTTCCACGATGCCACCCAGAGCCACGTCTCGCACACCCACGCTGCGTCCCACCACAATTCCTCAAGTAGAAAGTACTACCGCTGATACATCACTAACTATTCCGTGAAAGTGTCTACGGCAAAGCAAAGCTGTACAACTGAGCTCCCCGAGCAGTGGCTGGCCCATCACACCGACACACTCTCAGCGTGTGATTCCCCAGGAATCCTGCCGAGCGCTCATGCCAGACACCTGCCCCTTGGCCAAGCTCCACTCTGTACGCTTCGACTCGCGAGATGCTCACAGCAGCCCACATGTGAGTCCCCTTCACCAGCAGGAAACTGAGGCACAGAGCAGCTGGGTAACCTGCCCAAGTTCCCACAGCCCATGAGCAGTGTCTGTGTGTCTGGCCTATTCACAGTTCAGGGACTCAGACCCAATCCTGGAAGCAGGGCATACTGGTGCTTCCTCAGAAGATGGTTCCATGTCCTGAGGGCAAAGCTGAGAAATGAAGAGTCACCGGCGTCAAGGATCTAAGTGGCGCCTGCGGATCTCAAGTTATAAGGAAGAAACCCAGTCTTCCTGTTTTATTCTCCTCATACTCAAAATGGGTGCCTGGTTCTCCTTTATCTACCTCATAACTCTGACCAAAGATTAATGAGTCACCGTTCACCGGGCCCCAGTGGGGGGAGAGCTGCGTGCGGCATGGCCTTATCACCCACGGCCAGAAGAACAGCTAGCTACCCTTGCTACAAGCTGGACCAGGGGGCGGCCGCTGAGAAGAGGCTTCTCTCAGGCCATGGCTGCTGAACAGACGGCCTCCCTGTGCTGTCACACCCAGACCCATCAAAGGACCCGGGCCTTCTGCATTCACGGGCTCCAGGAAATCTGAGTACAGGCACCATCACGGGAGGAGGAAGGGGGGTTTCCAGAAAGACCAGAAACATCTTCAGTTTTATTCACATCTGGCTGAAGAGGGGGCCACGACATGGGAAGATTTCCACGAGACACCAACACACGAAGTTACCAGAATTCAGACACGTCGTAGTGTGCAGAAGCGTCCTTGGTGTCACGGCAAGTGAGAGGAAAATACAAAACTACTGTAAGGTCCAATTCCAATTCTGTGAAATATTTCTAAAGTTTAGACACAGGAATGATGAGAAAGAAACGCATCCCAGTGTTAAGCCCGAATGCCCAACACAGCACCCAGCACATAGTAGGTAAACTATGAATGTTTTTGAAAGGCAGAAGTTTCACTAACTGGCTCTTAAATATTCATTTTTTCTTTAAAAAAAAAAACAACTAGCATTAATACTAAATCATTTGCCATTTAAGTTTAAAGAGTTCCTTCAAAATTTTTTTATCTGCATTGACTTTTGCTTTTCTGAGAACCGAAAGCATGTTCTACACGGTCTTTATTCTTTGGGACTGCTAATTTGAAGAGAACTGTCACTCCCAAGCATGGAGCAATGTGGGGTATTGACATCGTATTGAATTATTTAAAGGAAATTAACAATGCTTCCTGTCCTTGGACAGCCACGTCTGCGAGAAAAGCTGTTCACAGCTGCCTCAGGAGGGTACCACTGCAGAGGACTGAGCATTTCTCAGCACCCTGAAGTCTCCAAGAGAATCTGTACGTTCTAAATAACTAAGAACAAAGGCAAAATTGAGGTAATAACTTCTCCGTCCCCCTGGGAGCTGTGTGAAAGGTCCCAGGAAATCATTTCCTGGGGGTCAAGTTTAATGGGATGACATATTGCTCATCATTCTCACAGAAGCCACGCAGGACACTGGACCACGTGCAGCCTCTCCTGCGAGCTGGGCACCTGGGGTTCACAGGGGCACCACCCTCCACCCTCTCCTCATAAACTGGCATTCTTATGGCGATGATAAACCTATCAGTGATCACAATACCCGGACACGACAGCTACCTGACGGGAATTCAGGGGCCATGGAGCATGGGCCCTGCCCTAGTGCGAGGCAAACTTTGGATGGGTGGTTTCATTTCAGAGCTAGCTCATCTCATACCGTCATTCTGCTCCGAGACCTACCTCCAAACACCAGGGCTCCCCAACCTTGTGTAAGGAGTGGCTCCTTTTCATGTCCCTGAAGACTTGAGTGCTGACAGTGAAGTCTGAGGGGGGGTAGAAGTGCTGACAGTCATGTCCCTGAGTGCAGCAAGGGAGGGGGCACTGCTGCCAGGAAGAAAGGGGAACAGAGTGAGGCTTGGGAGGGAGGGGGACGCAGTCACCAAGGCATTCACGGCCCCCAGCCTGACTTTCTCCCCTGACCCCACACTTCTCTACAGACTCCAAGCAAGGAGGACTGTGGTTCCCGATGCGACCCCAGGACTCTTCCACCTCCCTGCCTTCCAGCCTGGGGCCCCCTCTAGTAACATCTTAAACACAGTCTCCTCTATGCAGCCTTTCTGCTGCATCCCTGCCCGCTGTCCCCACCTCTGCCTATCCTTCCCCCAGGGGACTCGGCCATGCCTTGCTCTGAGTCTCCACCGAGTCAGCTGGCCGGCATTCCCTCTCCGCCCCCCTCTCTCTCTCTCTCTCAACTTACCTTACTGAATCTTCTATTAATTTAAACCATGTGACACCACTGGTATTTCTACCCTACAAAAATGCAATCACATATGGTTCCACCCAATACTAGAGCTATGTGGAGATCTGTCTAGTCACCTTCCCCTCTGCTGGTCTACAATTTTTCGGAGAGGGGCGACTGCACCTCCATCTCTGGACCCCTGGGAAGCATCGGGCAGCACACACCTTGAGTGCTCAAGAAGCATGTGCCATACTGAATTTCAGCGCAGCTTGAGCTCTAGCACACCTGCAGCTTTGGTTCACTGCCTGCCTACTCTGTCTGGGGCTTTCGACGGGAACGTGCGTGGTGTTCTGCAGCTCCTCACAACCACCCTGTGAGGTAGGTATGTGCCCATTTTACAGAGGAGGAAACCGACTCAGAGACGTTAAGGAGCATGCCCAAGGTCACACAGCGAGTAAACGGCAGAAGGGGAATCTGGACCAGGTCTCAGTCAACTCATGGTGCTGCTGTGTAGACTCGGATGCCCGTCCAGATGTTGACTACTGTGCTATCAACAGGATGGAGAATTTAGGGCCATAAAGAGAGACCTGCGATCCAAGAGGGGCTATTTCACAACAAAGAAATACCATTTTAATTGTCTTTTAAAAAGAAAATGCCTGTGTCCTTTGTATGGGTGTATGACTACTCTAGTTTTTAAAGGGTTTATATGAGGAAAAAATGCCATAAATAAATTCTTCATCCTTTTAAATCCCAAATAACAGAACTCAGGATTAAGAATATAAGATGGAGCACAAAACCCAATTATCTTATGTTCTGATATTCACCCAAGAGCAGCAGAATGAGCATAGTGGGTGCTCAAGACTCTGGGAGATAGGAAATTGGTGGAAATAAAGGACAAATCCCACAAAACAGCAACCACCTTTCCAGAACAATTTACATGGTTACCATATTACCTGGTCCTCCTGTGGTAGGGGGTGAAAGGGGTATCCAGGTGGATTAAAACCGTCCAAAGGCCACGTGAACTCCCAAAGTGGGAAGGGGCCACGTGGCCAGCAAACTGGGGCAACCCCAGGGCCCTGGCTGGCTACAGCTGTCCCTGTGTCTGGACTTGGAAAGCCACCATTGCCGGAAGCCAGAGGTCTGCCCCCCAGAAAGGGCAGCCCAAGCCCTCAGAGGAAGCACTGGTTGCCCATGGCTGGAGGTCTCTGGTCTGGGAAACAGAACCTCCCACTCTGCGTTTCTCACCAGCGCTCATTTGTAAACAGGAATGTGAGCCATTAAGCAAGCAGGAGTCCATTTTCAAGATCGGCCCAGCTTTTACAACTAAGGTAATCCTATTCTGCCTTGTCACAGTGGTGACTCACCTTACTATCTCCCACCAGAGATGACATGGTTTAAACCTCCAATTTTTCCTGGAAGGAACCCAGCAATACAGGGGTTTAAATCCCTGTCTGTTTGCTTTGTTTTCTAACACGGTGCTGAGAGCCAAGAGGCAAGGCTCCCAAGGGCAAGCGCCCCAGAGGAGTTTGGAGAAGAAATGTATCTAAGGTTACCATAGACCACGGCATCTTTATTATCTTCCCATGGCCTTTTCTCGGGGTCTATACTCCCAGAGGGGCCTGTGGTTTATGAGGACAAGTTGTGCGCGCGCACACACACACACACACACACACACACACACACACACCCCCCTCTGCCCAAGATCTAGATCTGGGAACCTCAGAGCCAAATCTGCACGTCACTTCAATTCTGTGGGAGCTCCCAGCTTTGAGATGTGTCAGATTAACCTGATCCTCCTCATCTCTTCTGGGCCTACCCTGCTTTTCTTCTTTTTTCTCATTTCTTTAAATATTCATTTCCAATCTTTGTGCATAATGTGAAGTCTTCTAAACCACTTCAAACTTTGGAGGGTAAAAAAATGTCCTATAAACAAATTCAAATGTATCTACAAATACAAAATCAATCATTTTGTAATGGGAAAGAACTGTAGTGGAGTCTCCCCTAATAAATACAAAACTCTTCAACGGATCCATCCTAAAGATTAGAAAGCAGACATCCACTGAGTTTTCTGCTCAGCATCCATTCATGCTGTTTCCGGTAGTAGTACCTTGACTTGTTTAGGAGGTACCACCCCAACCCTAAAGCCATGTAGTTTACATGGAGTGGACCCCTCAGTCCAACTGTACTCAGCATATTACATCCCTTGACCACAACCACTGGTTCAGAATTATGGGGGAAGAGAAGATCACTCTGGACTTCAGCCTACTTTCATGAGGGGACATCAACCCAGGGCCAAGGAGAGAAACGGTGTCCTGGTAAATGGGCCCCTGGATCCAGCCATGCCTGATGCCTGCCACCTGTGCACTTTTCAGTCAATACACTGTTTTTGCTCAGGCTAGTTTGGGTTGGGTTTGAGGAGAGACAGACAGAGAGAGAGAGAGAGAGAGAGACATCCTGACTGGAGTAGGCTAGTCATCTAAGCCAGACTGACCTCAATAATTATCCATCCACGAATCAAGGGGTAATGTGGAAAGAACTAGAGACACTCCAGGAAGAGTACATGAAGGCTTCATGAGGTTCATGCTCCTGGCATGATGAGGGGTTGTTATAAGGCAGTTCTTTGGAGTAGGCACCCGGTACTTCTTGAAAGAAGAAAGACTGTGGCTTGCGGCCACTGTCTGGGACAGGGAGAGGGACCCTGAGCAACAACACCTGTAGGAATCGACGTTCGGCCCTTCTGTTCCTCTAGCACCGCAGACACCACTGGCCACGCTGACCAACTTTAGGATGTGGTCTCCAGAAGGTAGGAGCCACGGGTACTGAACAGCACCAAATCTGCCTCCTAGCTTTCCCCAGCTACACCGCCTTTTTGTGACAGAGCGCTTGGAGAGATGCTTTTCACCTGGGGAAAGGGAAGGTCCGAAGCTGAGGCATGTCAAGACAGAAAGCAGACAGAGCACGTGGCGGCTTTCATTTTCACCGGTGACTCAGCACCTGATGACACAGAATGCTGACCGGTCCTGGGCATGGCCACACGGATCAAGAATCAGGATGTGTCACCAAAAAAGTTGCGGCAATGTTTGTGTACTCTACCATTTTGTTTCTTTCTGAGTTTATAGCCCCCTTCAACAAGTGGCTGGGCAGTATTCAAATATTAAATGCAGTAGAATGGAACCCAATGAGCTAGAAAGTACAATTTGCTTCGCCAGGAAAAATAAGAGAGAAAGGAGTATAGAAGGAGGAGCTGAACACATTGAAGAAACAAAAACCCTAAAAAATACTAAAGCCTCCAGAGATAAAGATCGGGTATGAAATAATGTTATTCAGACCCCACTTGGCTAACAGCTATTGGCTGTTGGGAGAATTCTGAGCCCACCTCTTAGAAAGAAAAAGAAGTTTTAAATTTTGTCTCAGAAAAGTCTGTTGTGATGGTTAATTTTATGTGTCAACCTGATTGTGCCATGGGGTGCCCAGATATTTGGTCAAACGTTATTCTGAGTGTTTCTGTATTTTTGGGCAAGTTCAACATTAAAACTGACAGACTAGCGGTACCTGGGTGGCTCGGTCGGTTAAGCATCCGACTCTTTTTTTTTTTTTAAAGATTTTATTTATTTATTCATGAGAGACAGAGAGAGAGAGAAGCAGAGGCAGGGGAGAAGCAGGTTCCCCACAGAGCAGGGAGCCCGATGCGGGACTCGATCCCAGGACCCGGGGATCATGACCTGAGCCAAAGGCAGACGCTTAACCGACCGAGCCACCCAGGCGTCCCAGCATCCGACTCTTGATCTCGGCTCAGGTCATGATCTCAGGCTGGTGGGATCAAGCCCCATGTCAGGCTCCATGCTGAGTGTGGAGCCTGCTTGAGATTCTCTCTCTCTCTCTCTCCCCCCTTCTCTCTCTGCTCCTCCCCCTCCCTCTCTATAAAACAAACAAAAATAAAAACAAAAACAAAAAAACCTGGCAGACTAAATAAAACTGATGCCCTCTCTCATGTAGGTGGGCCTCATCCAATCCGCTGAAGGCTGATCCTCCCCCAAAAGGAGGGACTCCTCCTCCTGCCTGGCTGCCTTCAAGTGGAGCACTGGTTTTTCCATGCCTTCAAACTGCAACCTTGGCTCTTCCAGGGTCTCAAGCCTGGCAGTCTTTGGACATGAACTCCACCATCAGCTTTCTTGGTTCCCAGGCCTTCAAACACGGACTGAACTACATCACAACCTCTCTCACATCTCTAGCTTGCCTACCGCAGATCTTGGGACTTGCCTGTCTTCAACATGGCGTGAGCCAATTCCTCACAGTATATCTCGTTATACACGTATACACACACACACACACACACACACACACACACACCATTGATTCTGTTTCTCTGGAAAACCCTAATATATTTGGGTTGTTGTTTTTTATGTGTTTTCTCCCCCAAGCAAGAGGGAAAGGATTATTTGTGGGTCTCTAAAAGAAATCAGAATTGTGAAATGAAACAGGTCTTATAAATCGTGTAATCAAATTCTTTATCATTTTTATTTTAAATCTCTAGGTCTAGACATAAAAGCACCTACCCAGGATTACACAGAAAAGAACAAAGCAAAACCCAGACTTTAAAAACGAGGAGTGTTCTATGTATAACATGGAAGAATTTTATTTTGAA